GAAAAGATGGACTCGTTGAAATTCCAAACTCTATCGCAGGAATTGTATATCTATTTAATGTAATCCGAAACATAGGAATTTGTGTAGGTGGGACGTGGTTATGAGTCGGTGTTTCGAACACGTTTAATTCGTAAATTGTGGTACACCATCGGTCGATTTTACGATTCGAGAGAGTTATGTTGGATCGTGCCGGTAGCCATTAGTATTACAATTACGGAATAATTGGTTAATACGCGTATACATATTATACGGATATCAACGGATATTCACAAAAGCCCCGGTAATCGTTTGATCGATACAATTTCTTTTCGACCACCTTCTCGACCATGTTACCATACATTGCGCATACAATATTCGTTATTTAAAATTCACGATACAAATGACGATCCAACGTTACTATGATTGTTAATGTAACTGTTTGCCTCCCACGTAATTACCCGCGAATCGATGCCGTGTATTTCAAACGTGGAAACAGCGGAATTAGAACATCAGTTTCGGTTTTACCTTTTAATCTCTATTTCTCACCTTGCGTCCATCTCTTCGATACATAAATGTTTCGTCCTCGTTTCGGCAATTCGCTCGACGTGGAGACGTGGATAATTGGATAGAATCGGGGGCGGCCGTGAAGGGTTCATTGCTTGGCCGATTCGATAAAAGCCAAGGGTATAAACCACGCCCGTCGTTACACCTAACAAAGTAGATTAACGCGGCGCTCTCGCCGCTCTCCGTCCACCTCTTTCCTTCATCCTCCGCGAAGGAAAGGGGGGCTCTTGCTCCCTCGTTTCTTCCTCGTTTCACGGGATAACCGAACAAACTTGGCGAGAAAATTGTTTTCGGGCCAGCCTTGTGTCTTGGCGAGGCTAATTATGAGTTAATACGCCACACACAGGGAGGAAGATGCTTCTGGTTTTACGTACGAGAGGATGGTTTTGAGAAGTGGTTGAAATGATCGAGAGATTCGGAATGATTTGTTTTGGAAATATATTGTTTATCGTATTCGTATAAATGGATACAATCTTTCTTTTGCGAGTTAATAATAAGGAAGATGGTTATTTGTCAGGAAGCTTGTTGAATAATTAACGCAGTATCAATTGTAACACGAAGAAATATTATTCAAGCATTTTAATAAGTAATTGCTTGAAGTAACTTTATTCCAGAGATTCTTTTAACCAATTATTTTTTCAACAACAGATTAATATCTAATTGATTGTCAGAGTTTTCTCAATTTTCCTTTCTTTTCCTCTCTCTTTTCATCAATAATATTCGATATTTTCTAAACGTATCCGTTCATCACCTTTGCATTTTGTATCCGCGAATCGAGGAAGAGTTAATGCATTTTGTTTGTCGGAATACTTTTTCAAAACAATTTCCCTCCCTTTCCTTTTTTCCCGACTCGGGAATTATCCATTTATTGGAAATGCATAATTTTCGGATCGACTCGAGAAAGAGTCGAAAACGTAATACGTACACACCCAACCCCTCTCAAGAGGTTAAACGGTAATTGGAAAGCGATGAAGCGAGCCGTTTGATCGAATTTGTCACTCGCGTTCTTTTCTCCTTTTTTCTCCTTCCCTCCCTCCCCCCCCATCGATAACGAGTAAAACGGGAGGGGAAATCGAACGGGAAAGGAGGGAAGAAAGGAGAGATCGGGAATAGGAAAAAAAAAAAAAAGGAAAAAAACGGATGGAACGACAGAAGCTCGGTGAAACGACATTTCGGTATTTTCCCTCGATTTATATCGCGCAAAAATGAAAATTCTTCTCCCGCGGTTATATTCTTTCACGGGCCGTCGAATCAAATTCAACAAGGGCCGTTTAAATCGTTCGAAGCGTCGATTTTCATTCGATGTTGCACGCATGCACGCACACACATGAGAGAAGAAAATGAGTGATTACTGGGAATATATCAGGTGGAACGCGTGTCCCCGGAATGGAACGTTTCATTCGTCAAACGGGGACAATATTGTTCCGAATTCGAAAGACTGGGTTGCTTGCTCCCTTTTCTTTCTTTCTTTTCTCTCTCTCTCTCTCTCTCTTTCTCCCTCTCCTTGCTCCTCCCACCTTGAACAATGGAATCTGAAATACGGGAAACTCTGTTTGCCCTTCCCCCTTTTGTCGCCGTTATTCTTTCGAAATGTCGATAAAATCGCGGTAGTTTGTTATTTCAACGAACCACTGTCGTGCTTAATTAATAAAGGAGGAGGGATTGGTATTAATCGTTGGTTCGAGGTTTCTTCGAGTTCGTTGGTGGGAATTTGGAAAATTTAATGAACGAGAGTTTAATGTGAATTTTTGTTTGAATTTTTCTTTCGCTTTCACGAAATGGAGTTTATCTTTTAGAAAAAGATGGGTCTTCTTAAATGAATCTGTACTTTTTATAAAAGTCATGATATATTTAAAATATTTGTTACATCTTTTAAATGTTTTTTTTTATAATAGAAAATTGCAACGTTGTTGATTGATTTTTGTTAATAATCTAGTTCTCGATCTATCATTTTTCCATTTAACTCGGTAGCAACCCGAGGTTTCATGAATTATCGAATTATTTAATCTACGGCTTTCTTTTTGTAAAAAATTTATTTTTACAAGAAGAAGCTTCGTGAAAAGGTATAAAAAAAAAGTAGATACAATCGAAAGTTTAGACATTACGGAATACTGTTAAACTAAAAAAAAAAAAAAAAAAAAATGTAATCCATTCAATTTGATTCACAATAGAATTCTACGAATCCTTTATTTTAACGTTCGATAGAAGCGAAGATAAAATGGAGCTTTTAGGTTAATGCAATTCTTGCATACACGTATTTTGAACAATTGGAAAACTCTGTTTCTTCTTTTCGTTCTTATTTTTTTTTTTTTTTTTTATAGACTTCCTTCAAAAATATCGATGTTCGTAATTTTAACACCGTCTTTGTTCATTTGATTAAAAAAATATATCCCTCGATATCCCTCGTATCTCAGATTTAAAATGTGAAACATGAAATGGACGATGGACGATATCTTTCGATTAAATTTTCAAAATTTCTAAATCTTCTTTTCGAATAAAAGCTGAAAACATAGGATTATAAGTGGAAAATAAAAAATTCAATAAGAAAGGCAAAAAAAAAAAAAAGTGAAAGTGACAATTAAAAAAATTTATAGCATCGTTGTCTTGTCTTTATCGATCATGATCGTCTTGTTGAACTTAATTGTATCCTCAACCTAAGAACTAATCTCCTCTTTAAAAGAGAGTTTATTCTTCTTCTAGAACACTACTTTGCTAGAAGATGTTACAAGAAGATAGTTGGTTCTCGCAATCGATTTTGGTTTACCGAAGAATTCACGAGTCATCAGTGTCGATAAAACTGCTGACAACTTATTTATTTTGCGTGGAATAATCATGACTCTTTCTTCCTAATTTTTTGTTTTACAATTTTTTACAATTTATTTCGATAATTCAGGCGTTATTTATCTATAAATAAAATTACAATTGTTTCAATTATAATAATGTTTCAAAATCATTTTGGTTAAAAATAATTTATATCGCATCAAAGATTTTGATATAACGAATGCATTATTAAATGATGATATCATTAACGAAATTCTCCAATTATTTTAGATAATGTATGGAAAGATTTAATTTATATTTGTGTATTATGCGATTAATTATTAAATTCACTGAAAATTTGATATAGAAGAATTTTTTTTTAAAATTTATTTCAATCAACAGTTGCCATAATGAAATTTTTAAGTTTTGCATTATTCCACATAAACACGATATGGATACATCAATACAAATAAAAACATTCAATCAGGGAAACGAATAATACATACAATTTAATCAGATTTTCTTATATAATCCCATATTAAATGTTGCTCTTCTTCCAATATTAATTATAATTAAATTTCAATCTATCCTTTTAGATATTATTAAATCTTTGTTATGAAATTCTTGCTATTATTATATCCATATTATATCTATATTATTATTATTATTATTATTATTACATTATTCCATCTACGTTATTAAATCTTCTCTTTTTCACCCATAAAATATAAAATCACAATCTCCACAGAGTATTCCATAACGTAATTAAAGAATCACTCGTCATCGCTCGATCTTTATCCTAAATAAATTCCAATCGTAACGAAAAGAAAAAAAAAAAATAATCATCAACTCTCCTCCTTTTCCGACCGAAATTCATCCCATCTCTTCTCTTTCTTTCCTTTTCAACGGTCGGAATATCAGAATTGTGCATCTTGCGACGGCACCTTGGAGCTATCTCACGATCGAGGCCGCGCGATGGAATTCCACGAGAAGCGCCGCGAATCTTATCGCCTCCTCCATCCTCGAAGGCGGTGGTGGTGGTGGGATTTCCGGAAATTCGCGTAGAATGGCCCGCATCTTCACCGCGTTCCTGCACCTGTTGAATTGGGACATCGATCGGGGCTCTCTTCCTCTCCCTCTTCCTCTCTTTCTCACTCTTTCTCACTCTCTCTCGACAGACGAATGCGCGAGCTAAGAAGGGAAGGATCGACTCGGAGGTCACTGAATACAGCCATAAATTCAACGGAATACGAACTTCCCGACAGTTTTATCTGCTTCTTTCGTTGTTCCCCTATGACATCGGAGTTAATAGCATAGAATCGCGAAAACCGTGCGAGTCGGTATCTGTTGGGAGGCTTACAGAGTCAATTTCTGACTCCCTGTATTTTTAGAAATGATATTTTTCAATTTTGGTAAAGAGGGAATTGGACGTTTTTTAATTCTCCATAAGAGTCGATATCTTTTAATTAACGGTGTAAATTTGTAAAAATTTCATAATTTTATAATTAGAAATTCGTATAAAGTAGAATTTAACGCGCGAAACGATATTTTCACGTGAGAATATTTTATAATTTAACGTTTTCTTATGCGTATATTTAAATGGTATCAAATATATATCTTTATATTTCGCGCCATATTTCCCGCGAAAGCTAAACGTTCGAAACTTACCACGTGACCATTTAAAAAAAAAAAACCACGAAAAACGTTCGATGAAACGTTGACGACGAAAGGAAATTCCATAAGCAAACACGTGTCTCGTATCGACCATTCCGAAAGTATCCATGTTGAATGTTGTTAACGCGAAGAAATATTTCATTAGACAAAGGAATCGATAGACGCCATAGCTAAGGACGCGACACGGTGTAAACTCGGCGTGGCGGGGCGTCAGTGCAAATCGAGGCAGCATGTCGGTCGCGCGCGTTCCATCGCTCGTTGCTTCGATCGCCGGTATTTCGTTAATTTTTCGATTCGTACACGATCGAAATAATGCGTTACGTTTCCTGTGTTCGGATTTCGACTGTGCTTCTCAGTGAATTCATCGAAATCGTTGGAAATCGAGATATTTTGGACCCACTCTACGCGTCTCGAAAAATCACACAGAAGAAAGGTTATGGTCTTCGTTTGGACGACAGAAGAGTGAGTACATGATATTATTTGTTTTTACGTTCACTTGCTTCTTACGTTTGATCGTCAAAAGAACTATGAAAATACGAAACATTTATTAGATTAGTTTAGAAATTGCGTGTTCATTTCAATGGAATAGTATGGCAGTTAGTATGCTTAATTTTGTGTTCTTTCTATATTGTTACATATATATTATTACATTTTGTAACATTAGTTTCTATTATCTTCTATTAGAGAGGAAGCTATAGTCAAATATGCCTTTTTTAATGTTCAAATAGTTATAAATTTTCAAAATTGAAATTTCATTAATAATTGTGTGGAATAGTGCAAATTTATGAGCTTTATCGTTGTCAGAGAAATTTATTTTTATACATACAATGCAATAATCGACTGAAATAATTAATGGATTGTTAGAAAAGAAACATTCAGTGCGTGTCATTCGTTTTATATTTCGCGAGATAAATTTCGAATTTCAGTTGATTGCTGACATTGAAACTGCAAATAGATAGCGCGTCGATCGCAACGTAAAATTTTAAACCATTCTTTTCCAAGACAGATGGTTGTTCAGGAATTCTTCAGCAATATTTAATACGTACGAATTGACTTACATAATAAGTTATGACTTTTCTTTAACTCGCATGGTTTTTGTATTCTTTAAGTTCAATTATTTTTAACGATAAGACGAAAAGTAAATACGAAAAATGAATCGGAAAAAAGATAAAGATATTCGACAAATTTTTCGATGGTAACGCGAATTTGCGATAGATAATCACGTGTTTCGAAAAGAATCCTCAAAGGGATTTTCCAAATCTGACGCGTGTATTTGTGTCACGGTATATGCAGCAAATACTCAATCGTGTCACGTTTCGAGTTCTAGAAGTGATACTCGAAGTTTGTATTATATCGACTAGCACTTCGCTTCCAATAAATTCCACTTGCTTTGAACCTTCGTGCCCTTCGATGTAATATGATTCCCGTATATGGGAACGCATCAATACACTTGTGCAATTTACTTTTTTTTCTAATTCGAAGATCGAGAAATTCTTATTATTTCCGCTTATAAATTTATTAAAAAATAATTTATTATTTTAAATATTTTATTTTTACTATTATTTTCTAAATCTATAGATTTAAATACGCAGTAAATTTAATTTAGATAGACGAGATATCTATATATTTAGAAATATCGATCGGTTAGGAATTAAAAAAAAATATACAAGTACTGCACATGTTTGTTCCCATCTGGTGCACGTATCTACGCATCAGTTAGTGCGATTCTAGCTGTCACCATTGCACACATGCGCCACAATAGAATCAAGAATAATACGATATCAAGAGTAACAACAAAAAAATAGTAAATCTCAATATTAATTAAATTAACACGAGTTACGAGATATATATATATATATATCAATATATAATACATATTTCTTTTCAAAATTTTTTTTCTCCAATTCCAATCGAGACAGTCCAAACTCCAAGGAATCTTTCTACATGATTTGTTACATCTTTGAAACCACTCTCACACAAAAAGAGTAATCAGAGTATACAAGATACACGTGGAGTTCTGTTCGAAGGACTATACGTCCATCCCTGCCTGCATTTTCCACGTCAAATCCCACCTACAATCTCCCGGTAGCGAGCGTAGAATCGAGTTCCAACCTCCTCTCTCCATCCTTCAGTGACCACCACTTGACTTCCTATAATTTTATTTACCCTCCACTCCCCGTATCCCTGCATCGTCTCTATCTGCGATTGCAGACAGGATTTAGATCATGGATTCCCAACCCGTGGATTGGAAAGCGACTTTCTTTTTCCTTTTTTTTTTTTTTTTTTTTTAATGCGAAAAAATATCAAACATTCACGATACATATATTAAATATTTTAACATTTAACAACAATAGAATTACTTCTGGAAATCAAGTTATTCCTATTTTATCAAATCTATCGAAAATGGATAAAAAGAAAAAAGGTTGAGAAACGCTGTTTTTTTTTAGATCGAAACAGCGATTCTCTATTCACTCTTGGGAGAACAAGAGTGCACAAAGGGAAGAGAAAGAAGTGGATAAAGTGGATGGTTCGCGCGATATCGAGGCCGTCATGGGATATTGCGGCGAGAAAACCGACGTTTAAAATCAATTATTCGATCGAATAAAGATACCAGGAACGACGTTGCGCGATTATAGGCTCGATTCCTTCGCGTTTTATCTAAATTTCCTCGAAAATGTTCGCTCGAAGGATCCGTTCATGAACGATTCGTCGAATCGTGGTCCGGATACACCGATACCGATAATCGCTACTCCATAGATTCGAATATTAAGCGTTATTTACCGGTTGTGGATGGGGAATGACGATTTGGAATTGCGCGGGACCGCGGGAATTGCGCGTGGTTTTGCTTGGTGGCCGCGTTTGGGAAAAAAAAAAAATGAAGTGGATGAAATCGATGGTGAGAACGGGGACAGTTGTGGCGTGCATTTGAATTGGAATCGGCCGAGTTTTGGAGGATTGGCTTTGGCCGTGCTACGGAATGAAACTGTTTTTAGATTTTTCAAAGTTGAATAATCGTTTGTGACATTGTGATCAACTTATTTTTTATTTTTTTTTTTTTTTAGTTATGGTAAATTATTTTAGTCTTATTTTTTTTTTTTTTTTTTTGTTAATGGTACTATAAACGTCTATTATTGCTC